ATTTTTCTAATGAACACCAATTTCGATGTGCGGAAAATGGGGAAAAGGTAAAACGCAAATGGTTGGTGTATTCTGAAGGCACCAACTCAGTATACTGCTTCTGTTGCCGACTTTTCGAGCCTAATTCAAAGTCACAGCTTGGTCAAAAGTCAGGTTTTAATGATTGGAAACACCTGGCAGAGCGACTTCGTTTACACGAAACCACACCAGAGCATTTCAAAACTATGACTATCTGGTTTGAAGCCGAGCTACGTCTAAAAAAATGTATTTTGGTGAATCATGCTCTATCGGACCAAATTAGGAGAGAGTCAGAAAGATGGCAGGAAGTTTTTACGCGCCTTGTCGCTATAATCTTATATTTGGCAGAACATAATATCGCTTTTCGGGGGTCATCTTCAAAGCTATTTACTAAGAATAACGGCAATTACTTAGGTCTGATCGAGCTGATAGGACAATTCGATGGTGTCATGTCAGATCACTTGTGAAGGGTAACTAGTGCCTCCTCCCAAGTGACTCTTCTAGGAAATAATATTCAAAACGAGCTAATTTGTCTTTTGGGATCTGAAGTAAAGAAGGCTACAATCAAAATAAATAAATCCAAGTATTTTTCTGTAATCTTGGACAGCACTCCAGATATAACCCATAAAGACCAGATATCTCTCACAATCCGATATGTAACAGAACAAGATGGAATAAGTGGTGATGTAGCCGTTGAAGAAAGTTTTATTGGATATAAAGTGGCAAAAGAATCAACTGGAGAAGCTCTCTCAGAGCTGTTGTTCGCTGAAATTGAAAGTTGCCATTTAAACATGAATGACTGCCGAGGACAAGCTTATGACAACGGTGCTAATATGGCTGGTGTAAACAAAGGTGTTCAGGCTAGAGTCTTAAAAGAATATCCTTGTGCTTCGTTTACACCGTGTACCAGTCACAGTTTGAATCTGGTAATATCTGATGGTGCAAAGTCGTCTGTTAAGTCAACCTCACTGTTTGGAATAATTCAGAGGATCTACACGATATTTGCGGGATCGACAAAACGCTATTGTATAGTGAGTGAACATGTCCAATCACTATCTATTAAACAAGTTTGCGAAACTCGCTGGGAAGCGAGGATTTCTTCCATTCAGGCTATCAGGTACCAGTATGCTGACGTTAGACAAGCACTGATTGAACTGTCAGACAGTTGAAGACCCTAAAACAGCATCAGAAGCCCAGTCTCTGATATCGCATATGGAAGATTTTTCTTTCTTGACTTGTTTAATTGTTTGGCACGATCTTCTATTTCAAGTTAATCTTGTTAGCAAAGCATTACAAGGGAAAATGACTGATTTAACATCAGCCAAAAGGCTGCTTGATAATTGCCAAGCCTTCCTAGGGTCTTTTCGAGAATCAGGGCTTGAAGATGCAATCATTTGTGCTAAGGAAATTGCCGAAAGTATCGGAACTGAGCCAGTTTTCCCGAAAAAGCCTTTAAGGAAGAAAAAGAAACAGTTTTCTTATGAAGGGCCAGATGAAATTAACGGTACTCCACAGGAACTTTTTAATAGGGATGTATTTTTGCCCCTTGTTGATAGTGTCACCACATCTCTTACTGAACGTACTGAACAGCTGAAAAAACACCATTCTTTATGGAGCTTCTTGTATGACCTTAGCAAGTTGCCAGAAAAAGAGGAGTTGAAGAAGTGTTGCCTGAAACTTCAAGAATTTCTTACATTTGATAACATTAGTGACATAAACGGAAATGACTTGTATAATGAAATTATCCACGTGAAAAGCATCGTTCATGATGAACATAAAACAAATGAAGCGTTATCTCCCATCAAGGTGCTAAAGAGTATTAAGTCACACGACCAAAAAGATCTATTTACAAACTTGTGGATTGCTCTAAGGATATTGCTGACCATCCCCCTAACTGTAGCAAGTGCTGAACGAAGTTTTAGCAAGTTAAAACTCATCAAGACGTATCTGCGATCCACTATGACGCAAGAAAAGCTGAATGCATTGGCAATTTTATCGATAGAAAATGAGGCGGCAAAACAGTTAGACTTTAAAGACATTTTAACCTCTTTTGCAAATGCCAAAGCTAGGAAAATTCCATTGGGTGTAAATTAATCTTGTATTATGGTTTCAAAGTTGTATCTATTGCCAAAAGATTTATCTACTTAAGTTCTGTTTGTTATAATTTCAATATTATAATCATACGTTTTTGTAAATAAAGTGTTTTGTTTCTTAATAAATGGTATTCATTTTTTTTTAAACAATTTCAAAGATTTTCGTCTTTAATGCTTTTTTATATACTTTTATAGCAAATTATGTTAGCAAAAGTTCGGCATTTTGTAAATAATACAATTATTTTTAAATGCTAACAGCGTGCATTTACTAACATTATTGTTTACATTGACCATCTATGGACCCATTCCTATATTTAAACAAACTGAATACTGTATGTAAAGGATTTTAAAAATACATGGATAACGTTCGATATCGATGAACCCTCTATCGACGCAAACCCCCGAAATATCTTTGTTTAGGAGGGGCGAAAATTTAAATCTTGCCCCGGGCGTCTATAGCCCTCGGGGCGGCCCTGGTTATGACGGACAGACGTGGTCTCTGGATTGTCGTCTGCATTGTCACCAGCTGATATAGGACTATTGTAGTGACTGAGAAGAGTGTTAAAAAAAGTATAATTGGATTCATAATTAATTGAGTGTTTTCACTCAAAAATTTTGCGCTGTCCCTAGTTTTATGTATTTATATATTTCAAACTCCTCAAAGTATTTAATAAATTTCCTTTCGTGCAGTACTGTAGAATTTCGAGACCATAATTTATATCCAGCAGATAAATTGGTTATTATTGTCAATAATTTTAAATGAAAAAACTCAATCAGTGGCGTAACAGTATTTCCCCGGGCCCCCCCGCAAAAATGTCTGTGGGCCCCCTGCTACCCCTCCCATTCCCCACCACAGCACTATATACCACAACCATCGCCACACCACAACTATCACATGACGTAGGTGACGGCAGGCCTACGGCCACGGCCTACACGATCAGACTGGCAGAGGATGGTCTCTAGCAATATCAAGTATTTACCTATTCTTCAACCACACGACCAGAGTCGTTGAAACATATTTTATATTTTGTCACAGTGATAATAAACTTGGGAGTTATGTTCGTGATTAATATATATGGGCTACTCCATTACTCCACCATTCACATTCATTACTAAAACAACCAAGCTTCCAACTATAATTTGAGTCGGGACCACGAAAGTTTGCAGTTGAGGGAGTAGCCTATTTACCATTTCACTTCAAAGGAGCCAATGAGGGCAGTGCGGTGTTGCCAAATCTAATAATACCAGCTGTTTTAAAAATATTGTTTAGTATTTTAATTAGTGTCGTCAATGGGCGATATGGCAACGTCGCACTAGCCTTGTCTTGTGATTGGCTGCCGCCAACTAACTGTTAACTTTCGTGGTCCCAACTGTAAATGTTAGTGCTTCACTAAATTAGCCCAATTTAATGACATGACATCTGATTGAGAAACTAAGTAGAGCATGGTACCCTACAGTAGGCCTAAATTTAAAACTCACTAGCGTGAACTGACTTCGGTGAAATAAAAAAATACAAAAAATATAACAAATAGCCTAACTTTTATTTTTAAAGTGACAAGAAATACTTTGCTATACATTAACACATGTTTTAAGTTCAAATTGTTTTACAAATCACAAAAAAGAACTTTTAGAAAGGTTTTATTTATTTGAAATGTCTTGATCTTGCTGCATTTCTAGCTGCAAAAGTTTCAATGACTGTCTTTACATCAATTTGTCTTGCAATGTCGTTTTCAATGCTTAAGACGCTCAACCCGCTTAGTCTCTCCTGAGACATAGTGACATAGTACTACTGAGATAATTTTTTATTAATTTTAATTTGGAGAAAGAACGTTCAGCTGAAGCCACTGTAACAGGTAGAGTCAAAAAATAGTAAATATGCTATACATAAATTCGGTAAACTCAAAACTGGATGCAACAGAATAGTTTTCCAGGAAAAAAAATTCTGCCATCTCTTTCAGGGACCTTTTAGCTTTGGTTTCATGTCTGAAAGTTCTTCTGAAACTTAACATTTCGCTAGGAAAGTCAGATGTCAAATCTTCGCTATATTCTTTAGCCAGTTCACTTGATTTCACTTGAAGCTCATCATCTTTACTGCTCAACAGGCACTCAGGAGTCAGGACTGAGAACAGAAAACAAATTGTTTTGATCTCCAAAATCAGGTGATCTACGGTCAGCTGAGTTACACGTGAGCGGGTAGTGGGGGAGGGAGGAGGGGCTGGCTCCGAGTGTGTGTCCCCACGGCGGCAGGCAGGCACACAGCTCCTAGCGCTAGCTAGCATGAAGCTACACAACCACACTGACAATACACATCGTCGGGTGATCGTGGTGAGCGTTGGCGTTTCGTTAACGATATTGTTAATTAAAAGATAAAACTTCAGTAGATTTGGCAGAATAAAAGTATCTACCAACACATCGTTTTTTTATTTATAATTTGTCAGGAGAGAAAAACATCCGTGAACAAAGAATCGGTTTTACGGACGGTTTGATGAGAATAGGGTATCTTAACCTCGCGGGCCCCTAAACCTCGCGGGCCCCCCCGCACCGCGGGGTCTGCGGGGGCGGCTGTTACGCCACTGAACTCAATTATGAATCCCATTATATTTTCAACACTCTCCTCCACTGGTAAGCAAACTGAAACAACAACATAGGCTACATCACTTTATATGAACACAGATAATCTTGGTGATAAAACAGAATCAACTGATGATGAGCAGGACGGGAAGGGGGTATTAAGAGGCCTATATCAGTTTTTGAAATAACTAATTTATCTTCCTAAAGGCTAGATAATAAATTTGTTGACCATCGTAAAATAGGAATATCAATGTTTGGCCCTTTTGCTTTAAAAACAGTTTTATTGTTTTGAATGACTTAAACCTTTAGGTAACTTACCACAAATTGATAAGGATGGTCATTCCGATGCGGTCCTATTTCAGCTCCATTGGTAAAACACTGAAAAAATTAAGAGTTGTAACTTGAACGCTAAAAAAAGAAAACATTTTGATCCAGTCCTATATTATTTTGTTTAAAAACAAACAACAATCTAAAGATTGTTGCCCAAAATTGTCATCATATTACTGTCCTTACAGTTACACAAATTGTTGTTGTTAATCTAGGGGGGGGAAACCAAGTACTCTCATGAACCCCAATACCACAATACAATATGATGTGTTGATGTGCGGGGAGGTGTATATTTATAATAAATGTAATCTCCATGGAATATTTTGGTTAAAACACTCACCTAGTGCGGGGGGTGGTGCGGGAGGGGGGGGGGTTATGATGTGTTGATGTGCGGGGAGGGGAATTAATATAATACTAATGGGGTGAAAAATGCAAAATAATTAGTCGTGGGAATTTTCAACCATGTGGGGAAAGCCAAACTTATGTATATAGCACATTAAATAATAGGCCTAACCGATAACAAAGTTAAACAATAAACTTATAAATCTAATTAGCCTACTGTATTACTCATCAACAAGTACGCTCTAGCATATCGCAAAAAAGAAAATTCTGTACAACTACTAACTGCGGAAAAAAAAATTACTTAGGCTACTGTGGCTGTAACTAAGAATAATGCAAACACTGTGACTAATTTATAAACAATGCAAACTAATTTATGAAAATTTATTAATTAAGGCAGGCTTAATAATCCAGTAGGCCTAACTGTAAAAAACAAAGCGCTAGATCATGAAAGAGGACTGCCAGTAACAATTAATCTATATCAATGTTTGTGCGAATTGAGTGGGGGGGGGGGGGGGGGTGATTGTCCTGAGTAATGATAGTAAAATGTTACTACCTTTTATGTATCGCATGCTTTACTCAGGTACTGAATCAAATCAGTAAAACTTATTACATCTTGCGGTCAACCCACCCATTGCCTAATTCAACCTAAATTGTTCTAGCAATCACTGTACTAAATCTAGCAAATTGTGTAAAAAAAAAAAACAAAAGGGGTGTAAATTTCACTATTAAAAATTAACTAGGCTGCTAAGATTAAGAATAAAGAACAATGACCTGATTTTCTGGGAGGAATTGACTGCTTAAGATTAACTAGGCCTAGGCCTACTTAGGACTAAATTGCTTGAAACCACCGCAAAAATTCATTATACACAAAAGGAATTACACCAAATCACTGTGCACGGGGACAAATACCTCTTCTGTATGTAAAAGACAAGGGCCATTGTAATTAAAAATACTTAAATAAGTTTAATCTGAACACACTGCAGCTTTAATCTAACAAACTTACTTAGGCTGAATATACTGAAAATAGGCCTAATTAACCTTGGAGAAAAAAGATTGGGAATTATAATTATCTATAAAATAAATAAATGTACGTTACTTACTATTACTATTGAAATGTGCTTCGCAGCTCAACAGGATGCTTCACATAGGCACTCATTTGAGTTAAGTAGTCCTACGTCATACTAATTACACGCATATTCGTCACTTACAATCGGATATTGAAATGAAAATTTATTGTAAACACGCCTTGACATTTGGAACCTCAACTTAATAAATAAATAAATTCCCAGAAGTTAAATTTAATACCTTGATGAGTCAACTTGCTCACACGAGGTCACGGGCGGAAATTTCAGACTCGATCACGTGATCTGACCTTGCATGATTACACAATGGAATTCATGTTCTAAACCATTACTGAACACCTTAAATTACCTTCCCCGAAAATAAAAAATTGTTTTAAAAGTGAAAATTATGGAATTTGAGACTTATTCAAAGCTTGGCCAGCCGAACAGGATCTCGCGAGAGCTACTATGCAAGCTATGAGGTTATGTAACGCTCTGCTACCAACTGCGGGGTCTTGACTGGAATAAACCCAGCCAGATCCACACTTAATGAAAATCGTGCTGATTCCACTTCCCATAGCACTCACGAAAACCCTGCTCAGCGTAAGCCAGCTTTGATAGGTCTTAAATAAATAGATTAACTACATTTCTAGAGCCTAGATAGATTAACGAGCCTACTAAACAAGACAAACATATCCCAGAGCAGTTTAATACCCTCAAAACATCTATAAAAAGCGGACTGGAAATTTTCTACATAAATATCGGAAGAGGCCTACAAAAAAAGATAGATAAACTAATTTTTGAAATGAATAAAATTAATCCAGACATCGTCATAGTCACAGAACATGGACATAGGCAGGAACAACTAGAAAAAGTACACTTAGAGGGATACAAGCTTTTTGCAGAATTCTCCCGAAAAACACATTTATGGGGTGGAATAGCCATATATGTAAAAAACAACATAGCCTCAAAAGCAATTACTCCTATACCCACATCTGAACTTAGTCAAGAATTAACAGCAGAGATAGCAGCCATCGAACTTAAAAAGAAAAAACAAAGCCTTGTAATAATAGGTCTCTATAGATCACCAAACCACAACCCGTATGAATTCTTTGAAATTACCGACAGCTTTTTACAAAGTTTTTCAAGTAAAAGGAAAAACATAATTATCCTAGGAGATGTAAATTTCAAACTCCAAAACGAAAATGACAGTGAAGTAGTACAACTCAAGAATCTTCTAAAATCACACAAAATAAATTTGATAAAAACCGCCTATACAAGAATAACCCCAACTTCACAAAACCGCATAGATATCTGTGCAACCAACATAGAGCCAAACTTTATACTAGCTAAAACTCATCAAAACACCATCTCTGATCATGAAATAATATCATGCTTAATCAAAAACTTCTCACCCCTCAAAACTGGGGCTCTGAAAAGAATGCTCAGGCCTATAACTACACAAAATCTTGACTTGCTCAAACAAAAGCTAGGAGAGGAAACCTGGGAAGACGTATTTAACACCCACTCTGTTGAAAACAAATATAACGCTTTTATCCAGACGATCAGAATGAACATGGATGAAATAATGCCAAAAACTTTGAGGAGTATTAAAACAAAATGCCCAAACCAATTCTGGGATGAAAACCTAAAAAAAAACTTCAAGATAGCCTAAACATAGCTCAAAATAAATATAACTTAACCGGACTAGACGAAGATAAAAACACATACACCAACTTAAAGAAAATTTACGATAGTGAAATAAAAAAGAAAAAATCAAATCACACTACAAATCGAATAAAAAACTCTGGCAACCAAATGAAGGAAATATGGAATGTAATAAATAGAGAAATGACAAGCAAACCTGATGAAAATCATAGAACACTCTCTTTACAAATAGACAATACTCTCTCAGACGATCCAGTTTTGATTAGCAACTCCCTCAATAACTACTTTATCTCTCAGGGAAAAAATACTTTAGAAAACCAAAACGAACCTACTCTCAATCAACCGGCAACAAGCAAAAACACAGGAAACTATGAGTTATCAACCTTCAAACCAGGATGAACTAAAACAAATATTTTCTCAACTACCACCAAAAACATCCTCTGGATTTGATGAAATCTCAAATAAAATCATCAAACATTGTCAACAAGAAATTGCTTCTCCTCTACTCCACATCATCAACTCTTCAATAGACCAAGCAATAGTACCGAACAGAATGAAATTGGCTACAGTCTACCCTAAGCACAAGAAAGGCGACAACACTTGCATGGAAAACTACAGACCCATATCAGTATTACCAACATTATCCAAATACCTTGAGAAGATTATCTACTTTCGAATTATGGAACATTTAAATAAACTAGAAATACTCTCACAACAACAACACGGCTTCAGGAAGAATAAGTCCATCAATACCGCCCTCAACAAACTTTGCGAAACAATCACCTCCTTTTGGGAAAACAAACAACATGCCTCTGCAATCTTTTTAGATTTGCAAAAAGCTTTTGACAGTTTGGACCACAATATTCTAATAAATAAGTTGGAGCAATTAAATATTACAGGAAAAGCCCTAAATTGGATCAAAAACTATTTTGCGGGCCGAAAACAACAAGTTGAAGTAATTCACTATAAAAACAACATCGAAACAAAAATTAAATCATCTACAAAACTCACCGAACGAGGAATCCCACAGGGCTCTGTCCTGGGACCTTTGTATTTCATCATCTATATCAACAACTTCCCAGACTATATGTCAACAGATAAAACTTGTATTATGTTTGCGGATGATACGACTATTCTCTACCCAGTATCTACAATACCTAATAATGAAACAGAAGAAACCTTACAACTAGCTTCAGAAGTATGTTCCTCACTGAACCTCAAGATAAATAAAACTAAAACAGTCAATATAAACTTCTCAACAAAAAAACAGACTAACCCTCAGACTACAAGCTCAACATCAATCACAACTGTATCAGAAACAAAATTCTTAGGAGTCTTTTTGGATGAAAACTTATCCTGGCAAAAGCATATTGAACATCTAGAAAATAAGCTGTTGTCAGCAACATTCGCAATAAGAAGAATATGCTCTATAACAAACAAAAAAAACTGCAAAAATCACATATTTTGCATTATTTGAAAGCCATTTAAGATTCGGCATCATAGCTTGGGGATCTGCTGCAGACCATCTCATACAAAAACTGCTTACAATACAAAAGAGGGCCATAAGAACAATAGAACAGCTTCAATATGACGAACATTGCAAACCATTCTTCATATCCAATGAAATTCTTACCCTACCATCCCTCTACATCCTGGAAACCATCAAATTTTTGAAACTCAACCCCCCAAAAGTCAGAAATGATTGCCACAAACTTAATTTAAGAAACTCGAAACTTAACTATAATGTTCAACAACACAGACTTACCAAAACTAGTAAAAATCCTCAAATAATAGGGTCAAAGCTATTTAATATGTTACCAGAGAATTTAAAACTAATCCACAATGACAAAACTTTCTTGAAAAAACTAAAACAATATTTGCTAAACAAACCATGTTACAGCCTAAATGAATTTTACGTAGATCACAGCATCTACAATAGACTAAACCATTAAACTGCTCTTAGCCTACACAAATACATATATACACATAACAAAAGAAGAATGACGATTCCCTGGTCTCAACGACTACGGTGAAGAGGACCTAGGTAAAGGTATTTTATTTTATTCTAACTACTCCTCGCCATTGAGACACACCTGCAGCAACTTGCCCTAAACATGATATCGATAATTGTAAAGTTTAATTTAGTTACGTCAGTTAATTTATTGTTGGTTGAACTTGGCCTAATTTAGAAAAGATACGATTCCCCCTAACCCCTTTATCCCCCAAAAGATTAATTAACTAGTTAGGCATTACGGGTACTTTACCAACTGTAGACCAAGGATTAAGATGTCCTTCTCGCTCCGAAGCCGAACCAAGACAAACCTGGTTGCCGGCGGTTGGTCTTTTCCGGCCGTAGCGCTAGTGTCGCAGGTGTCTGACTACAGTTCTGCTTGTCGTCCGATCAGCTGATGGGGTTGACTCTTACCTTATTCCTTAATTGTTGGCGGTGATGTGGGTTATTCCCACACTAGGCCTATATATTTTTTTACCTAACTTGACACAAGCTTACGACACTTTAGATTATCAGAAAAATTTGGCTATCATCACATCTACTCGGCTCCGCTACGAATCCTAAGATTAGCTGCTAAGTTGGTATTATTTCATAACGTAGGTTTTTATCGAAATATTATATATAAGTGTCACATTAAATGAAGAGAAATCTGGCCAATATATGCCTATATCAGACTGAATCCTAAATTAAAATTAAATTTACTAGGTCTACATTTAACCAACCACCTTGATTCTACAAACTATTTCATAACTTTAACAGGATAATTAATGGTAGGTCTACTTTGGTATTATCTGGAGGCCACCCTTATACAACGCGCTGCGGCGGTTATGTTAGGTGGTGTTATCATAAATATGTTAGTTTAGGACTTTTCTCGTTTCATTATGACTAAAATAATACCAGATGATTCATACTTTTGCTCGCCAAATCCCCTCCAAGGAGCCCACGCATCACCTGTCACCGCCTGTATCTGAGGCAGAACTCAATGGCCGCCAATTGTAATAATGTCAAATATGGACAGTAAATCAATTAAAGTATGTTCTTTCTATTTATGATAACCCAACCTAACATAACCGCCGCAGCACGCTGTATAAAGGTGGCCTACCAATAGTAAGCTACCTAATTAATTACCTGCAAGCACATTTCAAAATCAGAACATGTTGCACAGCGCACTCGCAGGCCATCGATCTTGTACTGGCAGTGGGAGCATCGATATGTGTTAAATACATCTGAAATCAAAGCATAAAAGTTACACACTGTCTACATTTTAAGCCAGGCAGTAGGGATGGAATCAGTACACAAAACTATATTCAAACTATGGAAATACTACAGAAGTACAAGTAACCATTTTAGGACAAACCGGCTTAACTTGTCGATCTTGTACTGGCAGTGCATACTATTATAAAATAGGGGTCTCTCAAAGAAACTTGTCCTGTGCTTAGGTAGCTTAATATTGTTTTTTTGTCTGAGAGTGTACTGCATTGAATGGAACTGCGGTTGATACGGATGATAATTTCTTTTTAAAAACGATAGACAACTCAGTATGTATATGGATGGAAATGTGAGAATATTGTATTCCTTGAAGAGAGGCTTGCAAGAAGTACGACGGGATATTCTGAAGGCTGCTCTTAGGGCTTTTTTCTGAAGAAGGAAGACAAACTTTGTTCGTATGCTCTCACAGCACCATACTGCCACCAAATACGACAATAATGGGTAAATCAGTCCATAATAGTCACTCAAGGTTACACGAGAATCGGTAAACTTTCAAAAGACCTCTGATCACAAAAATTCCTGTGCTAATTCTTCTGGATATGAGCTCTATATGGTCATGAACGTTGAGCTGTCTGTCTAAGACCAAACCAAGAAACTTAGCATTGCTGCAAGAAGAGATCTCTGTATGGTACCAAATTTTAAGGGGGGTAAAAACGTACTGCGAATAAATGAACACCAGAACTTACCCAATTTTTATCCACAATAGCCTACTCCTAGGCCTATGTGTTGGCCATAGCTTGGGCTATGGGCCAAAGAATGTAGGCCTATTTTTAATCACAGTGAAGTACATACACCCACCCAAAACTACATATTTATTAATAAGGCAAATTAGTAGTAAGCACTCAGTCTCGCCAAATAAAGTCAAACCGACCGATTTTACGAGTATTTAACGCCGACGACGACATAGCCCCAAAACTGGCGTTTATTTGTTGACAGACGACAGACCAAACTAGACCGGCTCAACAGTTGAGTATTCGATCAGCTGTTGTCTAGTAGTACATATAAGTTCGCCGCTTGAGCACGTAAGCCTCGAGCGGGCAGGAACGAAGGATTTTACTCAAAGACAGGATTATTCGTTCGTATGCCGTCTTCGAAGTAACTTCGTCGTTACATTCGCCCGTTAGCAACGCTTGCACGATCTGACGATCATCGATCATTCGTTTACCGAAGGTTAGCTATATTAGTTAATCTCATTGCTACGATTTACGTTTAACATTCGCATTCCCGTTTCCAAATTCGATTTTCAATAAATAAATTTAATAACTTAAATTTTGCCGACTTGATTCTAGACCCGCCAGTTCCTGCCTGCCAGTGACTAGCGGTGATTATCGTTTGGTTTGATTCAAACCAATTAGTTTCAAAATTACGATTTCTACGAATGTTTATTACGTACGTTGTACGTTTATTCTAATTAATTCACCGTTTTAATGCCCCGAGACTTGTCGTCTGAGTTCTAAACCCTGTCTTTGGCGGGCGAGAGAACCTAGTCTTGGGAGTAGGCTGATTTGAACAATCAGCCACGAATATTAGTATTAAATTTATTTTAAACGTATCACGATAAATTCTCCGTCCAATTATATTAATTAGGCCTCGAAGACTCTGTAGGAATTGTTTTTACCTTTTATTCGATATTATACCAATTATCAACGTCCTCAATCATTTGTTTTGAAGTTGAATACGAGTAGTTACATCGTATTGGCCAAGATAGAATACTCGTTGGTTCTACAGGGTCAATCCAAAAGTTAGGCAAAATTTACCAAAACTTGTTAGCAAAGGCTGGGATGATATAGCTCCCACTGAGCGTCTGCAGGATTTCCTGAGCGCTTCTAGAGCTCTGAGCCTTCGGTTAAATTTTAAATAAATTGATCAGTCAAAGCCGTGACAACTTCGTATCGACCCCTGGATTTTTCTCGGCTCCTTCTGAGCACTCCGGGGAAGAAATTTGAGTGTGGCTGGTTCTAGGGGTAGGCCTAGCCTGACTTAGGTGAATACTAGTTTATTCCCCCCCCCCCCCCCCTAGAATTTTGCGTCACATCTCTTCGTCACCTATCAAAACAGTCAGTGGGACTTGCTTTTTTGAGCTGTTAATATGATATTGGAGCATTTTTGTTTTATTACAGTTTAATAGAAGTTTGTTGTTTTGGAACCATTGCAAAGCTCTATTGGAACTCTCAAATGCTATTGTCTCTAGATGAACCACGTCTTTAGCTAAGACACAAAGTGAGGTATCGTCGGCATATAAACAAACATCTACATTTGAACTTGGATTATTTGATACAAAAGAAGGCAGGTCATTAATGAAGAGCAAAAACAGGATTGGGCCGATGATAGAACCCTGGGGAACTCCCCGAATAACAACAGACGAAGCAGAGGTAGCATGATTACGAATTCCTTGGGAGTCAACGAAGGGTATCCGGACTGATTGAGTTCTCCCTTGAAGAAAGGATGACACCCATTCGTGAGCTAAGCCCCGTACTCCAAGACGGTAAAGCTTTTCCAGAAGAGTAGGGTGATCAACCATATCAAATGCTTTAGACACGTCCCCGTGCAATTTATTCCCAGTGCAGCGTCTCCAGAATCTAGGGCTCCTGACAAGAATGATACAACATGATTGACTGCGTCGAGGGTCGATTTTCCCTTTATAAACCCAAACTGGTGGGAAGACAAGATATTATTTTCCTCCAAAAATGACAAGAGTCTGTTAAGAAAAAGACGTTCGAAAACCTTGGAGAAAGTTGAAATTAAAGAAATTGGCCGATAGTTGATACAATCATATTTGCTTCTATTCTTATGAATGGGCCTAACAATGGCATGTTTTAGGGAAGATGGAAAGCATCCCTCTTCAAAAGAACAATTTATCAGATGGACCAATGGAGCAGAAACTAGATCATATGTTTCTCTAAGAAGTCGAGAAGAAATTTCATCTGACCTACTCGATGGCTTTGGTTTGAGTGAAAGTATGACTTCTTCTACCTCAGGTTTGGTGACAGGGGACAAAAATAGAGAATTGCTTACAAAATTGAGAGACTCTGACAGTGAATTCACCCTTTCTATACAGTGACTTTCAGTGTGAAATTCAGTCCCGATATCAGAGAAGAATTTATTAAAGATTCCAGCGACTGTCCCTGGATCTCCTACTGTACCGCCATCTTTGTCAACCAATGAAATCAAGAATCAAGAATTTATTACAACAAATTACAAAAAAAAAAACATTTTGTATAGTTGAGGTCAATATGAAAAGTCCAGTGGTTAGCATTAGGGCCTATAACATTCAATAACTAGGCTACTTTAAATAATTTAAACAACAAAGTAAGTTACCGGTACACAGATTTAAGGCCTACATCAGTCAGAAACTAAAAACTAATAGGCCTATCAATGTCAGACATGAAAAATTCACTTAAACTATAAAAAGGGTGATTTAATAACCAGCAAAAAAGTTTACTTTTAAATAACTTAAGATCAACATAGTGTGCCTCAGCTGGCAAACGATTAAACATCTTTAACCCTATATAAGAAAAAGATTCTTGTGACTTTGTTAGCCTGACTAAAGGTAACTCTAAATTATTCCTATGTCTAGTAAAATAACTAACACACATAAATAAATAAATTAAAAACAGTGAGTATTTTTTCCTGAATAAACAAGGGTTTGCAATGGGCTCTGTACTTAGAAAAAGTAATGATTCTTAAAGCCTTCTTTTGTAGGAGCAAGATTCTGCTAACATCATGACCACAGCCCCACAGCAAAATACCGTAGCTTAAAATACTATTAAAGAAGGCAAAGTAGGCCATCCGTAGGTAGTGTCTAGGGATTAATTTTTTAAGCTTGCGGAGTAAGTAAATAACTCTTGAGAGCCTACTACAAACATGGTCAATGTGCACACTCCAGCCTAATTTAGAATCCAGGTATATACCCAATAATTTAACATTATCACAGAGTTGAGGAAAGTTTAAATCATGGTTACTTAAACTAAATAAAATAGATTGAGTCTTACTATTATTCAATCCTTGAAATGTCGAAGTTGTCCATTAATTTAGGACCTTTGGTGTCATTTATGATTCCCCATATTGTCTTTGATTTGTTCGATGACTCAGATATCTTACTAAGGATTTTGTCTGATTTTGCTTTACGGACAGCCATTTTGAAGTTTCTTTTCATATCTCTGTACTTCAAGCGGATAGGGTGTGACGAATCAAGATCCTTTGACAATGAGTAAAGAAACTGCTTTTTAAGGTTCAATATCTCTGGAGTGATGACTGGTTTATTTGAAGACTTATGACGATGGACTTTTGTTTTCGTTATAGGAAAGGATATATCGAAACAGTATTTTATGGTTTAAAGAAATTCACTGAATTTTTTATCTGTACTTTGTTGATCTAGCATGCCAGTCCAGGTTTCCTTATTTAAATGATGCCTAATACAACCAATATTTTCCAAGTTACGACATTGAATAAACAAAGGTTGAGATGGTGGAGGTGAAGGAGCTAGATTAATTACGGCTTCTTGGCCATGGTGATCTGACAAGGCGGCCTTAACAACGCTACAACTAATTAACTGGGAGTCAATGTTTGTGAAGATGTAGTCTATGGCTGTCTTAAGAGTTCTTAAACTCCCTTGTATATGATGTTTTTTTATGATGCAGGCCGTATGATCGCATTATGTGCAGAAAGCTTGTGCTCGAAAATCCGTCACACAGAATATTAATATTGAAATCACCCAGGACAACAATCTTGAGTGCATTTTGAAGAATAAAATCCAGACATTCTCATAAGAGCTCAAAAAGCTCATCGCAAGCATAACTAGGGCTCCTGTAGACACCAAGAACTACGACTGCGTCCTGGTTCGATGACACAATTTTAGACACTGATAGATGACAAGAATCCTCAGAGCAAAACCGGGACACATCCACATCAATAATCTGAATACCCCTTCTTGCTAGCAAGCAGACTCCACCTTTTTGACGAGATTGACAGCAGAAAGCCGTGATGTTTGTGTATTCCAGCAAAGAAAAGCAATTGAACCGATCTTGTGTCAGATTATGCTCTGTCAGGCATAAGATGTCAGGGGCTTCACTTTCTAAATGGATTTCTAGAAGTTCTTTGTTTGTCCTAACACCGCAGATGTTTTGGTGGAAAACTGAAATAGAAGATTTAGGGCCTGAGTCGGAAGTTTTTCTTGCTACCCTCTGCTCTGAAGCTTTCTCCTGCCTAATCCTATAAAAGTACGGTCTTCGTTAGGAAACAACCCAGATTTGGAAGAATATCGTGTACTATAAAATACTCTAGTGCTGTAGGGACGTGGAGAAATGCTGCCTGATGAAGACATTTTTGGGAGAGAGAAGTTTGAGACTAAAACACTATCATTTTGCACACCAATTAAGTTTTTAGTGCGAGTTTTTTGCAACAAGGGATCTCTTTGTTTCAGCATAATGTTGCCGAGCAAATTAACAATTCTGCGTTTGCCCACATGTTTAAAGTGCAGTCCGTGTCTGGTGAAATGACCTCTATGTACAAACAAGGGTACGAATGTCGCATTACTATGTTTAGAACATACACTGGCAAGTTGTTCGTTTACATTGACTATAACATTGTTTAAGAGTGGCAAGTCATATCTGATGGGCACAGCCATCACAAGCATTTGAGGCTTACTGTAAGTTGATAAAACATCATCGATCTGTTTGGAAATATGACTTATGTCAGACCCGTTTGAAATATCATTGGTTCCTGCCATTATGACGGTGTACCCTACCTGACCATCATCCTGCAACGAACGTCTAGCTGCCTCCAAAATGTGACACATCTTACCATTTGATATCACATGAGCAAACAAATTAAATTCGGTTCCAAACTTCTCCGTCAGTAGAGGCAAGAGCGATTTCCCGTGGCTGTCGCTAAACAGCTTGAGAGGTTTTTTAGAAGATACAAGGTGGTGTTTGGGAGCAGCTAGTCGACAGTTAGAGGAATCAGTCTTACAACTAGTGTTTGCTAATTTGACCTTAACATTAGATTTTAAGCTCCTAGGCCTATCATGGTCTACTTTGATAGGTTTGTTTGAATTTGGAATATCCAAACTTCTGACTGGCTTAGCAGAGACTATTAATTTAGTTGTGTTAGGCTGTTCCTTATCATCATTGTCAACAGAAAGTACCTCAAATCTATTACCACACACAACCTTGTGGACTACCTTAGACTGTTCATTTTGAGGCAATTTCATCCGGTTGTTTTTGTTTTTTATATTTCCCTTCACAAGTTCCCATTTACCATGTTCAACAGACTTCACTAATTTCCCATGAGTCGCAGTAATGGCATCTCTTGATTGGAACCAGGCAACAAAAGTATACCTCAAGACTAAGGAAATAGTAAGAATAAGACCAATAAAAGTAATCGAATGGCCTAAATACTACAATAAACTTAATTTAACCTCAAATAAACAACTAGGCCCATCGTAAAAACAAGTTCACATAGGCCTACAGCACCTATATCCTACATATCAATGTTCTCAATACATCCCGAAAAGTAAGTACCTATATAATAATTTTACAGAATGTAATAACTTTATAGGAATAGTCATAGTTATTTTAAGTTACAGCAACATCTTAAAGCCCATATCACCCGAGTAGTGTAATGGTAGGCATTTTGGCATACTGGATTTCACCATAAAATATGGGTGGTTAAGTTAGGTTGATCCAACTGAAAATAACTAGGGCTTGGCTTAAGTCTATTCTAGTAGGGCTAAACCAAAATCCTGTTAGTCTTAAAAGATAATAACTGTGATACACTTGTATTATCTGTTGTCAATTTCTCTGCCTTGACTGAATTGTTGTTATGGCCGCTATAAGATTAGCTAAGTTACAATAGGAGAGGGGGAAATCAGAATAGGCCTACAGGAGTAGGCCTATAATTTATATAACTTACTCAAGATGAGAAATTTGTAGGCCTATTGTAGCTCTTTAAAAGGATTTGTCACAACCGATGTGGGTGGCCTATCTTTAACCCTTAAAGATAATTCATTGGTCCACTTAAACCTACAGTACTTTAAGCCTGCTAACCGTGTTAGACCCCGGGCTCTGATATCGGGTCTCATTTAATTGCTTGCAAATTTGTAGAGGGTGCCCACGATACGTCTGAGGCGAGCGGTGGTAAGCGAATTGTTTCAAGTCAAACCGATTTTCGCGAAAGCACCACTCGCCACTCAGGTGAGTCATGCTTCAGTTTTGATTAAACTGACTCATATAACGGGGGAAATTCGATGAGTGCTATAAGTGTGCGGCTTGAATCGTAGCCACCACTGTCCCTTACGTGCTGCTCAGGTTGCCACTCGTATCATACCCGAGGCCTTATGAATTTGTAAGGATGATGCAGATTATGTGCTAAGAATGCCTAACATCAGAACGTACAGTTCTATTATCAGTTATAATTGATTAACCACAAATCTTGATATAACCAATACTACAAGCCCATAACGGTTTGAAATTGAACCTCAAGCTTAGAGAGATCCTAATGAACATTGTTATAGTATTAAATTAGCATGGTATTAAAATTAATCACTTATTTACTTTGTACTATCATTAGACTAGGGCTAGACGACATAGCAGAATTGATTAACTAGGCCTGTAAGAAATTTACCTGAAGACATTTCCAAAAAAGTTTTCACTCCACAACTCCAACCATGAGTATCTTATCACTACAACAATTTCTTTGCTGTAAAAGTTAGCCTAGTCTCTGTGAAATACTGAAATATCAACCAAAACCAAATTAATTTTAAACTATAAGTCAAGTCTTAAAAGCCAAGCCATGTTTCTATTTCTAAATTCCTTATTTCATTTCCATATTCCTGCTATCGAATCAGTGATAAACAATAACAACAAGTAACAACACATGACGGAATAATGGATTGGAAACCGCTATGGAAAAAAAGGCAGATGAGTGGGTATATAAAAAACGCAGACACTTTTTCTTACCATGAAGCTCAATAATAATAAAAAGCAAAGAATGATTAGGTCCGACTAATCATAATTGCATAGCAAATGGCATGAAATGTGTGTATTTATTTATTTAACAAAGTTAAAAAAATGCATTCAGTGTTAATTCTATATACCAGTTAGAATAAATTTAGGAAAAAAATTAAACTATACTTTGATGCTATATTAAGTGGAAATAAATAGATTTAAGATTTATTTATTTAATCGTTATTCGAAATTGGCCCAGTCACTAAAACTAACAAAAACAGAGATGCACTCACAAGCGAAAAGTCCAAAATGCACACCATGCAAAAATAAATATGCATAAACTAACGTTGCTTGGTTTAATATATCATACTGTATTAACACTGTGACGATTTATAATCACTACAAAGTACGGTATAAAATGATCAATATAGATCATAAATGCAGTTTGATATCCTTTATTCTACATTTCAACGTTCAAAAGCTAGAGAAACGTGTTTATATACCAAATCATCATGCGTTTTCTGTAAAGACTACCGAAGTAATTAATAAAATATTTAGTAGGTACCTTTGGGATAAAACAATAAAACATGATATCACTTAGTAAGAGAATATAGTAGTATTTTTCGTTAAAACCCACAATAACAAATACAATCGGACAAATCTTAAGATACAAATTATTTTTTCTATAAATGTATTTATAAATTGTCATAGACATCATAGATTAAACATAGTTCCATCCAGTTTATATAGGGCGTGTTGCTAGCCATTTGGTTAATGGTTAGTGTCTCCGACTTCGGTGCGGGACGCACAATTTTTATTTCAGCTGCAGTTATTTTAATAAGAACAAAATGAGAGCATTCTATTGGCTGAGGGAACACCATTAGTGCAATGAAACGGAATGAAGCCTTCGGCCTCGGTGGTCTAGTGGATAGTGTGCCGGGCTTCGAAACTTATGGTACCAGGTTCGAAACCCATCAGGAGCACAAACTTTTTGTCTAAGATTTTTGCATTATCAGCAAGTTTGGTTAGTTTTGTTAGGCTATAACAGTTAAATTTTATAATTAAAACCTTATAAAATTGAATTTGAGCTATTTATAGTTTTATTTTATAAACAGAACTTTTTTCGATTAGTAAACCTTCATTCAATTTTTTTCATTATCAGCAAGTTTGGTTAGGTTATCACAGTTTAATTTTATAATTAAAAAATATAACATTTAATTTGAGGCATTTATAGTTTTATTTTATGAACAGAATAATTTTTTCTATTAGTAAACCTTCATTCAATTTTGTCATTATCAGCAAGTTTGGTTAGTTAGGTTAGGTTATGACAGTTTAATTAAAAAAATAACTATATATTTTTTTTAGTTTTAGGCCTACAATAATTTTTTTTTTAATTTCTAATTTTTAAACTCTCATTTTGTCCGTATTAAAAAACTGCAGCTGAAATAAAAATCGTGCGTGCGGGACGGACGGGTTCAATCCCAATCCTCAGCACACAGAAAATAAACGTTATTCGCACGTTGATATCTTGTAAAATTCCACTGGCGTAAAAAAGGAAAGAAAAAAGTAAAAAATTGACAAACGACCTGGCAATATGACGAGGACAAAACAACACTTATTTAATACAGAAAAACAAACGTTATGACAAATAAATCTGAAAACTAATAACAAATATCAACGACTACCCACTTCTTTCTTTTCATTTTTGCTCGGTGAATTTTTCTAGCTGTCAATTCCTGCTGCAAAATACGATTGTCTTGGGAGCATTGTAGCATATAGTTAAAACCAAGGCCGCCTTTAACTCCAGGCCGCGGCCTTCGAAGTGGCAACGTCGCAAGTAGGGTTGTAACAGCTATTTTGTTTGGAAGCAGCTAATGGTATTTATGTATTTACGAAAGTTTGGTCACTGGATTATGAAAATATTGACTCCACTTAATTACAACGTACATATATATATTTTCAATTCATATTGTTTTGGTTTTCAATCCTGTATGTTTTATTTTAAATATTATAATAAATTTATGTTCATAAATTTAAATTTAAATTAATAAAGTGTTAATTAATGAGCTGATGTCACCTGTCTGCCATGTTATCTTATGGGACGTCTGACACTAAATAACCTTACTTGTGACGTAGCCAAATCTACCAGGCCTGGAGTTAAAGGTGGCCGTGGATAATTATTACTCCCTTAGTAGATTTCACATCCTTATGGATCAGCTGAGGCCAATTTTATTGTTAGTTCTGTCCGGTGCACTGTAGAGGTCATGCTTGGTTTACAATTTGTTTCTTTTTATTCCAGTAATTTAAAACCCTGTTTATCAAAATGAAATGATGTAATCATAAGTAAAAACGCATCCTCTAGTTATATAGGTAACCAAACAGTAAAACGCAAATCAACTATAAAATAATAGAAACAAAATTTCGTTGACACTAGCCACCAGTGTCACCGGACATGAGCTAGACACGTAAAACGAGCTTCAAAATTTACAATGGGATCGGAAGTCTACTCGTCTATGCTAGTAGGCACCGAGTTTTTCCTTGACGAATTCGGTCACTAAGGAAACGAATGTACTTGAACATATGGTGTGTTCAGTTGGTGCAGTGGTGCAAATAACGCAGTCATGTTCGGCAGATTAAACCCCAACAAAAAGGAAAAGTAAAAAATATTAAATGCTACTTTCACATAAGACCACCCTGGGACATATCGCTCTAGCTGGGAGAAATTCCCGCTCTCTACCACTAGACCAGTTGTTCGTTCCCCTATTACATATCATAGTAACTGAAACCTAAATTTAGCTGTTATATAGTGTGAAGGTGTACAAATTGCAATGAAGATCAGTGTTTCTGTAGACGCTAATTATCTATTCTATTATAATGGATTAATAGCAATGCAGATATCTAAAATTAAAAGGTTTAGTTAGGAATGCATATTTTACCCTTGAATAAAGAAAACATCAAACATTTCCCTTCCCAAATGTTAGAATTTTCTCCGTAACCACTAACCAGCCCCCAGCTTGCTAAATTGTTTTTACATGAAAATCTTGTACGACATTAAAAAAATAAATTGTTTTTACGGGTCTTTTCAAACGGCCATGAACACTACATAATTTTACATACCTAATTATATACACATTTTAGGTACCTTCAATACTATTACATTCTCTATGTGGTATCATGTTTGTTCTACCGGTCTCTATCCATACTTCCGCGGCGCCCACTTTATTCTTGTTCAACGGCCAACGCGATCGTCTCTTCTCTGCAGTTTTGGATTTTGGATTCTGTAATAAATACCTATTTACCCTACCTATTTCCCATAACAAATTTAGGAAGAATATCTGAATATCTACCCAACGTTGGTAATTCATTAAACCTATTTAAATATTTTAGAATATAATAATTAGCAATCATTAGAGGAGACTATCTATGCCTACTTAATCATCCCGTCAAACACAACTTAGCTATGATTTAGGCTAAGATGGTAACTAAAAAATAACTCGAAAGATTTAGGATGACTGAATCCATTTAAGAATTTAGGCCTACTCATTACCAATTATTTTTAGACTCAGGCCTTACATTAACTTATTAATGTTTAACGCATTGGATAAGTACATACATCGTTAAGTTCGCTTTGCCGATTGCCGCACCGCAGCCGCCGATTTCCGCACCGCATGCGTCGTTGCGGACTGAAAGTCCGAAAATTGAAAAAAGCTGTGTTATTTTCACTCAAAGTAGCCTATGTTTTAACAGATATATATACTGTATTATAATTTTGTGTTGAATATTAACTTACGAGAATATATACTTATAGGCATAGGCCTAGTTACCATTAGTAACTTCATAATATTTGTTGGGTGACTATTTAAGTTATTTCAAAATAAATTTAGCAACTGTATCACTGTATCTGCGTAAATACTGTAAATAAAAATGACATTGTAGGCTTTTCCTTTATTACATTTTTATAGGAGGGCCCAAAGCAAATATAGGGCTGGATTTAGGCCTATCAATAGGATTTCGGCCTAGAGACTCATGCTGAGGGATGTAAAATTAGTCCACAGTTTAATTTTTAGAACATTTTCTTTAGTAATATATGCCTAATCCATAAAACTTCTGTATTGCTCTCCACGAAGACCCGTTATCCTGTATCGTAGGCTTTAGGTAGTGTTGGACGGGCGAATGGTAAGCTAGGTTCAGATAGTGTGTCTCTTCCACCTTGGTTATAATATTTTTCTGTCATATCCTTGTGTGCTATAAACGTACACAAATAAACCTTTAAGTTACTAAAAAAATAAATATGTTGTGGTCTAAACAGTTTTAAAGTTTAAAAATTAGCTTTATTTAATTGTTTATATTTTTTGTCTAATTTGTATGGTTATATGATATATTAGGTCTTGAATACTTTTATATATACAGTTTGTATTTACTTCTGTAATAGTTATATATACATATATTTTTTTTAAATACTTTTTTATTCTGCAGTACACTCCCGATTAACAGAGGTTTTATATTGTGACCGAGACTAAATCGGTTACCGAAAATCTAGGCTAACAAGGAAGTCGATAGATTTTGAGTATAGGAATTCATAGATTCACAGTAGGATGTCAAATACTTGTAAAATATATGTTTTAACAATACATTACTAATTAAAAATTATCAAATTGAATTTTCATGCCAGCCTTTTTGTAAAAATAAGGTAGTAGAATATCATTAAAGAAATAATAATACAAACATGCTCAACACATCTTTGATCGTCTAGAAAACCTTTCAACGGATCATTATTAGAATAATTACGTTGAATCAATACTCTGTAGTATTTAAAACAAAACAATAAGGTGGATCTTTCTAGTTTAAAAAGTAAAAAAGTC